GGAATTGAGAAGGGTCTCATACCTAGGTGATTCTTAGGTAGAAGTTAAACATAGTTTATGATTAGGCAAGTAGATTGTAAACTAGTGATAGTTTGTTGTTGGTCTACAAACTGATTTTTTTTAGTGAACTCCCTCCCTGGCTTAGTAGCCCCCAGAGTAGGTGTTGTTGTACACCGAACTAGGTAACAAATCTGTGTTTTCTTTTAATTTATTTACTCTTAACTGCATTTATCTTGTCATTATGTTTTAATCAGATATCAGTGTCTTGACAATTCTTAGGACATCTAATATCCGCATACCAGAATTTCAATTGTTATCAGAGAAGATATCATGCTCTGTATCTGGGTGAGATTTAGGGAAGATGATTTTCTAGTACAATGAACAAGGAAGGAGGATTTGTGAACAGACCACCCATTCTATGGTGGCCTTTATTAAATCCATGGATAACAAGGCTTGGAAATCTGTTTTCAAAGGATGGGATCCACCAATGGCTAAAGATAATGATGGGAAGATTACTGATATGGTGAAGGCTGAGGAAGACTGGAATGATAAAGATGATAAATTAGCAGAGGGAAATTCCAAAGCATTGAATGCTCTTTTCAATAGAGTGGACAATGACATCTTCATATTGATAAGGAATTTTATTGTTGCTAAAGAAGCTTGGGAGATTTTGAAGACTGCCCATGAAGGAACCTCTAAGGTAAAGATGTCAAGGCTTCAACTTCTTGCTATGAAGTTTGAGAACTTAAGAATGAAGGAGGAGGAGGGTATTCATGACTTTCACATGAATATTATTGAGATATCCAATGCCTCAAGTGCCCTGGGGGAGAAGATGTCAGAAGCTAAGTTGGTGAGAAAAATTCTCATATCTCTTCCAAAGAGGTTTAACATGAAGGTGACTGCCATTGGACAAGCTCGAGATATAAACAACATAAAGGTTGATGAGCTTATGGGATCTTTTCAGACATTTGAATTAGGGATCAGTGAAAAGTCTGAAAAGAAGAAAAGCATTGTCTTTGTCTCTAATACTGAAGACTTAGAAAATGAATGTGATATTGATACAAATGAAGGGATATCTAATGCTATTGTGTTAATTGGAAGATAATTCAACAAAGTGATGAAGAAGATGGACTAGAAGTCAATATCAAATGTCAAGAACAAGTCACTTGACATCAACAAAAATCAAGATTTTTGGAGAAGGTCTAGACCTGAAGAAAAGACTAACCAAGGAAAAGGAACCAAATTTCATGAATGTGAAGGGTTTGGACACATAAGAGTTGAGTGTCCCACTTATCTCAAGAAGCATAAGAAGGAAGATGATTCTGGAAGTGATCCTGAAGAGGAATCTGCTAAACAGGTTACTGCATTGACTAGAATTTGTGATTTTGATGAAGAATCATATTATGAAGAACTCACCTTTGGGAAACTCGTTGCTTCGTACAAGGAGTTGTGCCTCAGAAGTGAACAAGTATGTCAATAGGGAGAAGATCAAAATATATCATTACTCAACTACAGTATGAAAAAGTGGAGTATCTGTCTATCATCTCTAATATGAAGGATGAAGTTGTATTGCTCAATTCAAAACTTGAAAATATGACTAAGTCTGTAAGAATGCTTAATAGTAGTTCTGATGTGCTGGATGAGATTCTTCAAACTGGAAAGAATGTTGGAAATGTTAAAGGTCTTAGCTATGATAATCAATTTGTGATGAAAAAAGTTAAAGGGCCCGAAGTGAAGTTTGTTCATCCAAAGAAAAAACAGGAACAAAATTTGTCAAATCAAATGTCCCAACATCAGCAAAGACACCTGAATAATTACTTGGGAAGCAAGAATCAAAGAAGGAGATGTCATTATTGTGGAAGGTTTGGTCACATAAAACCCTACTGTTACAGATTATATGGCTATCCCAAACCTGTTACACAACCTAGAAGAGAACAGAATATTGTTAAAGCAGAGAAAAAGTGGATTCCTAGAAATGCCGCTTCTGGACTCATAGCTCACACCTCTCTCAGAGCTTCTACCATAAATGATTGGTATTTTGATAGTGGTTGTTCTATACATATGACTGGTGTCAATAAATTCTTGGTGGATATTAAATCACATTCCACTAGCTATGTCACTTTTGGAGATGGATCAAAAGGTGAATAAAGGGTGTTGGAAAGATGGATTGTACAGAACTGTCTAGTCTTAATGATGTGTTGTTTGTTAAAGTGATGACTGCTAATTTGATAATTATTAGTTAGTTATGTGACCAAGGTATCAAAGTTAAATTTACTAAATCTGAATGCTTGGTAACAAATGAGAATAATACAGTCATCATGAAGGGAACCAGATCAAAATATAAATGTTAAATGTGGACTTCTCAAGAAACATATTGTTTCTCCATGTGCTTGATGTCAAAAGAAGATGAAGTTAAGATATGGCATCAAAATCTTGGCCACTTACACCTGAAGGGTATGAAGAAATTTTTCTCAAAGGAAGCTGTCAGAGGTATTCCCAAGCTAAAAATTAATGAAGGAAGAATCTGTGGTGAATGTCAAATTGGGAAGCAAATGAAGATGTCACATAAGAAGATCCAACATCTGACCACTTCAAAAGTTATGAAGCTACTTCATATGGACTTGATGGGACCTATGCAGGTTGAAAGTCTTGGAGGAAAGATGTATGCCTATGTTTTTGTTGATGACTTCTCAAGGTTCACATGGGTGAATTTCATCAAAGAGAAGTCTGAAGTGTTTGAAGTATTTAAAGAACTTTTTCAAAGGATTCAAAGAAAGAAGGAATTGTATGGGTTAAAACAAGCTCCAAGAGCTTGGTATGAGAGGTTGACTGAGGTTCTCATTAATCATGGATATATAAAGGGTGGAATTGATAAGACCCTCTTTGTTAGAGAGAAAGGTGGAAAACTTATGATAGCTCATATCTATGTGGATGTCATTGTTATTGGAGGGATGTCGAATGAGATGGTTCAAAATTTTGTCCAGCAAATGCAATCTTAGTTTGAGATGAGTTTGGTAGGTGAATTAACATACTTTCTTAGACTGCAAGTCAAGAAAATGGAAGACTCCATCTTTCTTTGTCAAAGCAAATATTCAAAGAATATTGTGAATAAATTTGGATTGGAGAATGCTAGTCACAAAATAACTCATGCTCCTACACACTTGAAGTTATCTAAAGATGAAAAAGTCATTAGTGTTGAGCAGAGTTTATATAGAAGCATGATTGGTAGTCTTCTATACCTTACAACAAGCAGACCAGATATAACTTTTTCTGTTGGAGTCTGTGCTAGATATCAAGCAGAACCCAAAGTGAGTCACATCAATCAAGTTAAATGAATTCTGAAGTATGTGAATGGTACATATGATTATGGAATGTTGTATTCACATGATTCAAATTCCATGTTGGTGGGGTATTGTGATGTTGGTTGGGCTGGTAATGCCGATGACAGGAAAAGTACCTCTGGAGGATGTTTCTTCTTGGGAAACAATCTGATTTCATGGTTAAGCAAGAAACATAATTGTGTATTCATATACACTATTGAAGCTAAGTACATAGCAACAGGTAGCAGATGTTCTTAACTAATATGGATGAAACAGATGTTGACTGAATATAATATCACACAAGAGGTCATGCCACTATTCTGTAACAACTTGAGTGCTATTAATATCTCCAAAAATCCTATTCATCACAGTAGGACTAAACACATTGACATCAGGAATCACTTTATTAGATATCTTGTTAAAGAAAAAGCCATAACACTTGAGCATGTTAGCACTGAAAATCAAATTGCTGGTATTTTTACTAAGGCCTTAGATGCAGTACAATTTTAAAAATTAAGAGGGAAACTTGGTATTTATGTTTATGAGGATTTATATCAATTATTGTTATTTACGTGGGTCAATCAAATTTTCAAATCTTATCACTCCCACCTGCATGCTACAAAGATAAAAGAAAAATTAGGTGCTATGAAAAACACTCCCTCTAGAAGTCTCAAATGAAAATGTTAGGTTGGTCCTGCTAGATCATGGAGTAAAGTTGTTATCACTACGAGGAAGAGGAAAGATGTTTCTTCAAGTGACTCTGAGTATGAAGTTGAAGAGGATGTTCAAGACATCATTCCCATCAAAAAGTGTGCTTCAAGGAAGACTTGTGTTGTTGTTCCCGAAGCTCCATAGAACAAGGTGTCCTTTCATACTGAACAAAATGTTAAAAGATGGAAGTATGTTTACCAAAGGAGGATAGCTTTGGATAGGGAATTGAGGAAGCATTTCCAAAAATGTAAGGAGGTTGTGGAACTTATAAATGTGGATGGTTTGATAAAGACTGTCATAAAATTTGGTCCTTGCTATGAAAGATTAGTCAAGGAGTTTGTTGTGAATGTCCCTGATGGATGTGATGATGTGAAGAGTGAAGACTACAGAAAAGTATATGTTAAGGGAAATTTTCTGACATTTTATCCTGTTGTGATCAACAATTTTCTTGGCAGGTCTGGACAACCTCAAGCTGAGTTAGAGGTTATAAATGATCAAGTCTGCAAGGAGATAACTGGTGGACATGTGAAGCACTAGCCAGATGAAGGAAAGTTGTTAGCTGGAAGAGTGAGTGTGAAGTATGCTATTCTTCACATGATTTATACTATTAATTGGGTTCCCACAAAGCATACCTCTACTATTTCTACTAGTCTTGGTAAGTTCATCTATGTTGTTGGAAAAGAAATGGCTTTTGATTTTGGAAAATACATCTTTGATCAAATTCTGAAGCAAGCATCCTCATATGTTATGAGGCTTCCTATTTTTCCCCTCTCTCATATATTAAATAATATTGAATCAACACCCTGGTATTTTATTGGTTGTTGATAGTGTGAAGAAAAGGGAATCTCCTTTGACTTTGCATTATAAACTGTTTGGTGGTGAGCATGTTCTAGGCATTATTGTGACATCTTCCCAGGTGTCTGGTCATGTAACTTTAAAGGAAGGTATAATTTCTCACTTGAAGAAGACATGCATGGATTGGAAGATTCTATCAGGACTGAGACTGCTAGTAAGATCAAGCTTGAGGTATTAATCAAAGCTTTGATGGAGGAAGAGAAAAACTAGGCTGAAGCCGCTAGTGCTGCTGCTGAAAGTGGTGAACCTGCAGGTGATGAATCTGAAGGTGTTGATGTTGCTGAAAATAGTACATCTGAAGGTGATTATACTGTTGAAAAGAGTGCATCTAATGGTGATGATGTTGACAATAACAATGTTGCATCGAATGATGATGATGGCGAAGGAGAAGATTATGAAATTGCCGACGATGTTGATGCTGATGCATGATTGATGTTGTGTTTTCTTTGTTTTGCTTGCCTTTGGTTTATGGTTTTGTAAGGGGTCTATGCCCAAACATATTTTAACAACTTTTGTGTACTCTGTGCTATTTAACTTATTGTGCTAATTTGGTTTCAATGCTTTGGTTAGATGCTTACCTTTGTCATATTATAGTTAAAAAGAGGAGTAATGTTGATGTGCACTAACCACTAATGCTACTATTGAGATGGAGAACTATTTGGCTCCCTGGTGGTTATCTCAGCATTTTTTAAGGGGGATCCCCTGTTCTAAAAGAAGAGATGTCCATACATCAATGTGACTGAGAATTTATTTTTCTCTGTTTTGTTGTGGTTAGTATCTTCTGTTGTCTGATACTCTGATATTTTCTGCTGCTAATACCTCTAATAGTCTGATACTTCTAATGTTTACTTTTATGCTGTTGTGATTATGATTGTGTGTGTGTTTGATTTATTTTCAAACATACGGTGTTCTTGTGTAATCTGGATTGGTGTGTTTTTGTGCAAGAGTTATTAATTTGTTTTAGCAAAATTTTTCCAAAGGGGGAGATTGTTAATTCTCTATTTTTGTGATTGACATTAATTTTGGTAAAACTAACTTGGTAGCAACATGTTGAACAAGATGTCTTATCTCAAAGTCTCGACATCTTATCTGTTGCAGTTTTACAGATTGGGTTTACTTGGTTTAATTAATGATTATAGAATATTCTGAGAATATTATGTTATCCTATATGGCATCCAAGTTTAAGGAATCAGATATTCTGTTTATACTTAAGGTTATCTTGTTTCTATAAATGTTGAGACATTTTATGAAACATTTGATTGAATACCTATTTTTATGGAGAAGTTTTTGCAGATTTTTAGCAGCTACCTTGTTGTGTTTTTGAAGCCCAAATCCAGTCCAAAAGTTGTTATATAAATAGAAGATCATAAACCTAATGTTAAGTATGGAACAAATTTTATTATCTAGTATTATTTTAGGGGTTGTGTGTTTATTATGAGCCTCTCAAATATGATATTGATATAAGAGTGGGATTGTCTCTATTGAGTTGTAAGTTTTGTCAATCATTCTTAAGTTTTTAAGAATTGAGTGATTTTATGTCTTTGAAGTGTGGCTTCTGAAATATTCTAAGTAGGAGATTTTGTCATCACTGTTGTGATTGAAAGGGAATTGAGAAGGGTCTTATACCTAGGTGAGTCTTAGGAAGAAGTTAAGCACGGGTAGTAATTAGGTGAGTAGATTGTAAACCGGTGATAGTTTGTTGTGGGTCTATAAAGTGATACTATTTAGTGAACTTCCTCCCTGGCTTGGTAGTCTCTATAGTAGGTGTTGTTGTACACCGAACTGAGTTAACAACTTTATGTGTGCTTTTAATTTCTATACTCTTAACTGTATTTATCTTGTCATTATGTTTTGATCAGATATCAATGTCTCGACATCTCTTAGGACATCTGATATCTACATACCAGAATTTCAAATTGCACAACATGTTAATGAACTCAATGTTTTCACATCCCAATTGAGTTTAGTTGGAATCGAATTTGACGATGAGGTACGAGCATAATTACTTTCGTCTTCCCTACTAGATAGTTGAAGTGGAGCCATATTTGGGAAACGATGTATGAATCCCGTAAAATTCCCCGATTAGATCTCATATCGATTCAAAAGAAAAATATCCAAAACAATTCGCTAAGGTGGAAGAGGTAATTTCTAATATCAGTCTCGTGGGTCTTTACAAATCACCTGAACTAGCACCGTTTTTTATATCTGTTGTTGGTGAGACGAGAGAAGAAATTACGTCTTTGAGATATCCCTTACTAATGATGCATGACGAGGAATGGAAAAGCAATGAATGAAGATTAAAAATTTAAAAAATTTGGAAACGTAAGCAAGATCTCTAATGTAGCTTCATGTACGATCGTAACGACCACCATAGAGAATCAGGAGGCGATAGAACTTCTAATTGGCAACAAAGGTCCTAACAATTTGAATTACTTCAAAACCTTCATGGCACATTTTGAGGAAACATGAGGACTAGAACATGGTGACATCTTTCAATTACATCCCAATATCACATGCCTCCTAAAGGCGGTTAAAGAAAGAAGGGTAGAAGATACATAGGTAGGAATTCCTTCATATCAGCTCGAGAGGGCCATCGATGATGCTCTAGAAAGGTCGAGGCTAACACCGCTATGTATAAACCAATTTTACCTCTCCTAAGGAAAATTGCAACAATTAGGGCAAAGAATCGGCCGCCACGGCCTTCGACCTACAAAGAGTGTTTCATGACCAAAGATCAAGGTCATGAGATCTCTACACACCCAACTTGATCTGGTTAGGTTCATAAAGAGGATGACATGTTTAACTCTAACGTCCAAAAAGGTGAAACCCGACGAGAAAATAAATTTGGTTAACATACCAGAGACGTGTTAAACATGTGAATCCATACACAATGTGTGAGGTGAATTATAGAGGTTTGAAATACTTTGATTGAAAACAAAATCATTTCAAAAATCTGTGTTTGAAATCATTTTAAATTCAAACAAGTAAATAAGCAATAGAAAACTAAAGGGACAACAATAAAGTAAATATGTAAGGGATATAAAAAAACACCAGAGATTTATACTTGTTTGACCTAAATTTACCTACTCTTGTCCCCAAGAATTATTCTTGAGAGTATCCAATAAATTTGAGAGTTTTTAGAAGGATGTGCCCAAGAACCTCCTTATACAAGGAAATGAAGTTTTAAGGCTAACTTTCAACCAAACAACTGACTTAGAGTGATTATCCTCCAAACCAAACTGCAATTTTCCATGGGTTGATCTTGAACCAAGATGAAGTTTTGAGTTGGTTGTCCTCTAAATCGAACATTTCTTATCTCACACGCGCACTCTCTCTCTTTCTCTCTCTCTCTATATATATATATATATATATAATCATTTCCACTTTTCACATATTTAAGCCATAGTGCTCTAAGAGCATTCTTGAGTTTAGTGAGGAAATTGTTATAGGTGAGGGCTTTATTGTAAATTTAACAAGAATAATATTTTCTCTAGAGTAAATCATTCTTCCTTAGGAAGTAATAATTTTAGTTTAGAGTTAAATCAGTGTAAGAGCTCTTTTCGGGATTAGTATAAGTCTTTGTTTGGTTCATGAGCTCCACCATGTAAGAAAAGCTCTCCTTTTGGGTTCATGAAGAATAAACATAGAAAAATATTCACATTGGTTCTTGAGTTCATTCTATTTAAAAGCTCTATCGATTCGACATCATCCTGGTATAAATTCTCACTTGGTTTTTGAGTTCAGCTTGTGTAAAAGCTCAATAGGTTCGAGATCAGCCCAGTAAAAATCTTGGTTTGGTTTGTGATCAGCCCGTGTGAAATCTCAGTTTAGTTCTAAGGATATCCAACTTAAAAGTCCATCTTGATTCGAGATTATCCTGTGAAATTTTTTTATTTCTCTTAGATACTAACTGCTTGAAGCTCTATTTATTATTTGGCTTGAAGACTGTCTGCTTCATTTCTAAGTTCGTTGTTTGGTTTGAAGTTAGCCTTGTATAAAGGGGTTCATGGGCTTAACTTCCTAAAATATCTTAAGCATTATTGGGTACTCTCTAGATCATTTCATGGGTAGAGCATTGAGTCACTTCTTTAAGACCAAACCTCTATTAATTTCTGGTGTTATCTCCCTTCCCTTAACTCTTTTGTTTTTCGCTTAATTTTCGTTGCATATTCAAACACTTTTATTAAAATATTTTCAAATTGTGTTTTAGAATATAATTTTGTTTTACATCATATTTTTCAAAACTCCACAATTCACCCCCCCTCCCTTGGGTATAGAGCGAAATAGTCAACAAGCCATGGAGCAGACTTAAAAAATATCCTAGGGTCGGTTAAGAACTATAACATGCGTTTGAATCCGGCCATGTGATCATTTGGCATATAAGTGGAAAAATTCTTGGATTTTATGCTCACCAAAAGAGGAATTGAGGTGAATATAAACAAATTCCAAGCCATGGTAAACATAAGGAGCCCCTCAAACGCTAAGGAGGCTCAACAACTATTTGTCCATTTAGTTTCCCTCTCTCGTTTTGTTTCCTATGTAGGTGACCAGGTTTTCCACTTTGTTGCCATGTTAAATAAAAATGAGAGATTTAAATGGAAGGGGGAATGCGAGGAGGCATTCCCAAAGTTGAAAGCGTTCCTAGCATCGTCGCCCATTGTTGCATTGGCAGTAGTAGTGACCGCAAGAAAGCTCATGTCTTATTTTCAGGGACATCGGATATTGGTAAAAACATATTATAAGTGCACCTTTGTATTAGGATATTTTAACATTTATATATATTGAATGGTATTCTATAAGTCTTAATGTGCATCTTAGTATTAGGAAGAATAAAAACATTTTAGAAAAGGTTTCATACATTAAAAATTAAATTCCATGTAAAATCAGACCTATGAGTCGACACACACGACCTTTGAGTCGACACATGTACTTGCATTTTAAAGCTTGTAGGCTCTATAATGCATGTGTCGACACATAAAGCATTTCAGGTCGACATGTAGAATAAAAATTCTTCTATGTACCGACACATACGAGTTATGAGCCGACACATGTAGTTCAAGTTTAAAGCCTGCAACTTCTGTAATGCATGTGTCGACACATGACCTATAGAGGTCGACACACACATTAAAAACTTGAAAATTCACATATTTTAAAATCTCTTGCATTCCTCTTTGTCTCTAACTTGCACACACACACACACACACACACACACACACACACACACACACACACACACACACACACACACACACACACACACACACACACATATATATATATATACACCTCATACATGTATCATATCAAGCTTGATGAAACCATAAACATACAAAGTATTGCTCTTCATCTTCACTCTCTCATCTAGGCATACACACATAAAAATTAAACATAATCATTCTTTGTTTGGGTGCTATCTAGATTTAGAGTGATAACATCCAATTTAGGTTTGTGTACATGTAAATTGGGTTGAGAATATTTGGAGGTTTCATAAGGAAAAACCTTAGGGTTTGTCCACTAAGATCAAAGTGTTGACTTGGGGGTTTTGTATAAGATTTTGCAATACAGATTCATTTGAGTGAAAGCTTCGAATAATGGTGGGATTGGTCCGAGGAGTAACATGAATGGTATTTTCCAATGAGTGTTTTTCTGGAATTTAAAGAGAAACACCAAAATATCCTTGTCATGAAGCAGCACATTTGGAAACCCGTTGTTGCTGGCTCATTGGACATTCCAGAAGTTGTTCGTATTATTGCGCATCAACAAATTAACTGCTTCTTGAAGCTCTCACGTGATTACAATGAAGATCTCATTCGTTTTTTCTACTTCAGGCTACACGATAGACGTGGTTCCACCTTCAAGTTCATAATAGGTAACACAGTTTATGAGTTCACCAATGCTCTTTGGAAGTCTCTGTTTGGAATCATTGTTGTTGGTGCTGATGTTGAACCATTGGTGACGGATACCAATATTCATAAAGATTTTAAATGGAGCATTTCACACAATTGAAATGCTAAAGGCTCCGTGTAATAAGGTGGGAGAACTGATTTTTTGGTTTTATCCAAAATATGCGGATAGCTAGAGTCGCCACCCGGCTTTTCTTTTATCCAACAAAGGAAAGGTTGAAAAGAACAAGAAAGACCTTTGAGAATTTTCTGAGTTCGGGGGGTAGGTTATGAAAAGGGAAGGTGTTAGCACCCTTTTCATCTGTAGTTATCTACGGGCTCTTAATCGCTTCCTCATTTTATTTGCTTTATGTGTGTGTGTTTCTGAAAAGTTTTGAAATGGCAAATAGTAAGGCAGTTTTCTTTATGATAACTCTTGTATCAGTCCTCAAGAGTGTTGATAAAGTGTTTTTGAAAATGTTTTTGAAAGTGTGAGGTGTGTAAAGAAATGTTTTAAATTGTGAGCAAGCGATTAACAATAACTACCCTTACTCAAAAGTATTTCGTGTTATTTTCCTCTTCCTTTAGATAGTGTTATCCTACTATTAGTTGGTAGGAAGCCCTATCATTGGATGTTTGAGGGACAGGCGTAGGGTCATCGTATAGTCACAAAAACCACTCGTAAGATACTTTAGCAATTACCATAAGGTTTTAAGATCTTTTACCGAGACAGCTTCAAAAGGGCCACCGAGGGACTTATGATCTTATAACCAAAGGGACACTGCTAAAATCTCCTACGTTCGAGAGACGTGAATATTTACTTTTCCGAGGCAACAAGAGAGGTTAACCCTAGAGGTGAAAGTGTGCAAGTGATTCAATTCAGTTTATTTGTCTTGCGATTAGGGTTTACTAATTATTTCTTTCACATCTTGCCATACAATCCTATTATTCTAAGCAGTTTATAATAATAGTAGAATAGTAAAGCACAAATAACAGCCTATGCTATTACAAAGCTTCGGGAAGGGGGATACACATCATAAAAACGTGGGGATAAAGACAGTAAAAAAACCCTAATTTAACAGCTATTACAAACCATGAGCAGATACAATATTTGGGAAAATAATACAGAAAAAATAAAGAATAAGCGAAGATTGAAGCGGGAATAAATTTGAAACCCTAAAGAATCTAATTGTTTAGTAAAATATTTTTTGGTATTTTATTGAGAAAAGAAACGATTTGAAATATTAGCCTAATTCTAATTATTTTTAATTAATGAAATAAGTCAAAATAATTAAATTAAATTAATTTGGAAAAAAAATTTAATTAGAAAACCCTAAGTCTATTTTTTATGATTTTTTATTTTTATTATTAAAATAATTTTTTTTTAAAGTGATATAAAAAAAATAAATAAAATAGGATAAAGAAAAGAAAAAAAACAAGTTGGGCCTGATGTTGTGAAGCAACCCGAGGGGTATGAATTTGAAAAGTGGATCCAGGCCCATTATGCCAGCGCTGGATCCAGTGAGGACAACTTCAGGAGGGTGTATCATGGGGAGCGTGCTTGGGGTGCTGGATCTGGATTTGTGATGATCTAGTGGCTGAGAGTGAGGACGCATGGTGCACGCATTGAGACTTGGAGTATTGGATCTGCAGGAAACAAATACAGGAGAAATAAAATGCAAAAGGGTTGGATCAAACCCAACCCCCTTGAGACTAATGCCCTATCATGCCTTGCCTTTACCAACTGAGTCAAGTTTTCTTTTTGTCAATCCAACGCAAACTAATCATCATATAATAAAACGCATTAAAAATTAAATTCAAAAATTTAAGTCATCGTGGGACCCAAGATACATGCAAGGACCAATCAAGATCCCCCCAAGCGCCAAGTGGGAGTCAACGATATTCAAAAGATTAACTCATCGAAGAAGCGCCAGAGCCCTAGCTCTGGCCGTCTTCACCAGCCACCTCCTTCTCCTGAACTTGCTCAAACCTGCGAAATCAAACTTAGTTGGAACCAACCCCCCTAATTCAAGGGTTGAGGATCTAATGGTATGGTCCTTTTGGCCTGAAACACCCTGTAAACGGTGCTACGAGAAAAAAATGCAAAGTTATGGTCAAATGGAAGATGGT